GGCAGCCAGAAGCTGCTGGGACTGCATGCAGCCCACACTGCCAGTTGGACAGCCTTGGAATAATATATAAATAACACTAAAGTAAGACATTTTACCTGTTCTTTTGTTATGAGAAAACAAGTATATAATGCATACACTTAGTCAGACAAGTGTTTTTCCAATTTAGATAACTACAAAATACAGGTAAAATGGATTCTGGGTACCTTGCACCAACCACAATGTCACCATTGTCCAACACGCAGCAACACCAGACAGACTGAGCTGGAAGTCTGATTGTCTGAGCACACTCCCCTTGCTTCCAAATTCTAAGTGTTCTGTCCTCTCCAGTGGTTACAAAATCTAGAAGAGATGATTTCTTTATTTTTTTTTGTTTTTAATATCAAGGTACAAAATAGCTTTATGCAAGCAAGCATCTAGCATTTATTCAAGAAACAGAAGTGATTCTTTAAACAATTAAATACTTCTCCCATTTCTTTAAAGAAATCTACAAGGGATAAAGAAATCACACATTTCTTGGAAGATGTATAATGTCACTGTGTAAACAGTGGTGGAATCGGGGAAGGTAAACTTATGCGCCAGACACACATCTTAAGTTCCCTTCTCAGGGCGCTAACAAAGCACAAAATAATTTTGCCTTTATCAGGGCCTTATCTTATCCTGAGTCTTCAGGGTTTCACAATCCTTGCACACCTTCCTCCCTCTCAACCCCTCTGCACCAAACTGAAAACTGGTCCCTACTCCCCACAGGTACAGAACACACCCCCTCCTTCCCTCAAGTCCCTTCATTGATCTCGAGTCTTTTCTATCTGCCTCTCTGCCACAAAGAGGCACATGGAGCAAGCATATAGTTTTACAGTCCACCCAGTTCTCCATGAACTTTAGCCTCATTTATTTTTTGAGATGCTCTGAACTCAGCGTTCAGAATCATTTTTCCTTCAGCAACAAGCTAACGCCGTACACTGTCCATCTCAAAGAAAGCTATAAAAATGGAATCCTGAAAAATAAACTCGTATTATGCAAGGGCAAATACTACCACTCAATCTGAAAAGCTACCTTGGCTATTTTACTTGGAAAGAGTCTTGTAAACTCCACAAGTGTCCTACCTTTACTTTGAGGGAACACAGATATGCTGTATATATAATTTGTATGCCCATAATAAACTTGCAGACACTCGCCAGAGACCTGCCACCTTCGAATACTCGCATCATTAGCGCAGGAAAGAAATTCTGTTTCACTGAGAATAGCTAAACCTCTCACACAATCTTCATGACCTTTATAAGAGAGAGAAAATTGAATGAATAAAATGACTGTTTTATTAACAGCAATCTAACATACCTATATTTTTGCAACCTCAGATCTATATCTAGAAACTGATATTCCTTAAGGATCCAACTTTCAAAAGCTGCTCTGCTCAGTGTTTTCTGAAAATCAGTTACTTTTAAGGGGGTCACAAGTTGGTTACCCAAAATGACTAGACTCTTATGAAAACCTTGGTCTAAGAATTACATTTTCTCCAGTTCACTTATACACACATCATAACTGCTTATTGTATTTGCAAACGACATCCCTTTTGCCTAAATCCTTACCAGTGAATGTTCTCTCACATCTGCCTGCCTTCCACAGTTTAATAGTTTTGTCAGCTGAGCCAGTCAGCATTAATCCCTGTTCTGGCAGTATCTTCACTGCCCATACTGCAGCAGTATGACCCTGTGAACAACACCACAATGTTAGACCTACCACAGATCAAATGTACACAAGATGCTTAATTATTTATTGTCCGATACTCTTGCAGAACAACTATACCTGTAGTGTCATCATGCATTTGTCATTCAACCAGACTTTAGCAGTTGTATCCCACGATCCACTAAGTAAGGTGCCAAATTTCCCAGATGAAAGGCTGCAAACTGGAACAAACATTCAGATCAATACTGACAAAGCTGGATTGCAGAAAACTAATCTCCAGCCTTACTCCAGTTATATATGGAAAAAGGTTTTCCCACATTAGCAACATATTCATATAGCTTGCTTTTTTTTGTTTTTTTTTAAAGAGACACTTCTAAAGTTAGTTTGTTTTGGATAAGAGTTTAAAATCAGAATAAAAACTACGACTAGGAGGGCTTTTAAAGCATGCACTTTTGCCATGTATTCATCTTTAGTTTCTATCCCCTCACAATCCTGATTCCAAAAAACCCATGATTATTCTGATGTTCTCCAAAAATAGCAGTCCCTATTAGCACTCAGTTCACCTGGTCACTTTCTGGTACTCCCCCAAAAAGCACACATACATAACCTATGAGCATTCTGTCCACCATTTAAAACTCAACCCCCAACAATCTGCATGCATTTTAAATGGAAATCCCAACATAAAGAATCAATATTAATTTATTCGTGTAATGATATAAAGTTCTCTCTCACAATTTGTGCATTCCATATGTCTATATTAAAGACAACTTCCTCCGGTAATGCCACATTCACTGCACTACAGGAATATCATTCATCACTAGAAGTACTGCTGTTGACAGCTGCAGTGAAAAAGTGCTGTTTAGAAGGAAAGCTCCCTGCAGCAATGACTGTCATTTTGTTTTGGCTTTAAAGTGTGTAGGAGAGTCCTAATCTGTACCAAACACTTACACAATTTACAGAGAAACCAAAATTGAAATGACTAAACTTATCAATACAAGTTAAAGACATGTATTTACAACCTCCTCTGCATCAACCCCAAATTCAAAACTCTAGACAACAAAACCCCCAAACATGAATGATAATTACCTGTGTTTTTGTGTCCCTTGAGAACATAGAGTGGAGTTGGGCTGTCCACTGTGAAGATGCAAATATTATGGTCATTGCCACCTGTCGCAATTAGTCCACGAGGATAGAGGTCACTTGGAGGTATGATGCACACACAAGATACAAAATTGGAATGGCCGCTCATACAGTGCACTTCAGTAAAACCCCTGTTAATACTAAACAGACATAAACAAATAAGTTTACATTTACTGCCATAACAAAAAATTACTCATTTGAGAAATCTAAATGACAAAATATATTTATATTTCAAACTCATGTTTTCATAATTTTACTTTGGGTTAAAGTTGTTAGAGGTGGCTTATATAAAAGACACTAAGTGACTCAAGCAGAAGGAAAAAAAAGAAGAAAAAAGTACTGATGAAAAAAAGCCAAGTTTCCAAATTCTAAACAGCTCAGAGTAGCAGAATTTCTTTTTGCATCATCCAGTGTGCAAGTCCCAAGTCTACTCTGAAAACCACTGGCAAGTGCGAACACAGGCTGAAAGCCACCATTGAAATATAGGAAGTGGTTTGTTACTGAAATGTATTGGTCAGAACTCATCATATTTACTCTTTTACCACAGGTACCATTCTGCCTTAAAAATCAGCCCAGCAAAACTTTGGGAGGGCTGAGGATGGGTGCATATCCTAGCAAGGAAACTGATTTTCTGCTCTGGAAAACCAGCAAGGCCAGTTCTATTCAGGCAGTGTCCAGGCCTATTTGATATGTCCTGATGTCATAGGCCTCGGCCCATCATAAGCCCCACTTTGGAATTGAGGCTACTGCAGACATAGCAACTAATTGCTTGGGACAACAATAAGAAAAACAGGAATGGGAGTGAGGCCATAGACTAATAATAAGGGCAGGGGTTTTCAACCTTTTTCAACCATTGTACCTGCAGGAGGCCAGATGCAGAGCAGGGTACCCTGGCCGCTAAGTGTGTGTGTGTGTGTGGGGGGGGGCATGAAGGGCTGGAGAAGTGTTGGAGAAGGGCTGGATGCCAACAGGGGAAGGGGGTGGCGAAGGGCAGAACACAGAGCAGCGGGGTATGGGGTAGGGTGATGAGCAGCACGACCCTGCTCCCATGAGGCAGCAGCATGGGATGGCAATGCTTTATCCCCACCCACCCCCGCGAGCCCCCTGGGACCTTTCAAAGTACCCCCTGAATTAGGGCATCAAAAGTGGACACTGAACAAAGGACACCAGTCAGTGCCCACTGGTTCCTGAAGGAGCGGAGGGAGCCTGTCAGTGGACTCCCTGGGCACCGTTTTGGTTATGCACTTCCCATCCACAGCCCCACCAAGTCCTGGGACAACACCCCCAGCTCAGCTCAACTGGTCATCTATACAAACAGGAAGGATGCTGGGGCCAGGAGAACTCTGACAAGTGTGGGGCTGCTTTCTTAGGATGCCTCCGCTCATGTCTCTGGGCAGTTTCACTGGTCAGCATCCACAGGCCAGCAGAATCCCCTGACACAGACACACATGAGCCAGCAGGTCATCTGACTCCCTGGACACTTCCTCAATACAAATGGCTTTGCTGCTTTGCCAGAGCAGAAAAAACTGGTGTGTATATCATATACATATGATATACACACACACATATACACACGCACAAATATACGACGATAAGTGCATGCAGGCAACTGCAGTGGTAATGACCACCTTCCCCGGGTCCCGGTACTAGTCCCGCCCAGCAGGTGCGGCCCCTGCCCACACACCGGGGGGGAAGACGCACACAAGACGACCGAGCGGCTCCCGGGCCCCGCCGCCCTACACCCGACCCGGCCCGGCCCGGCCCCACTCTCACCCGCCGGGAGCCCAGAGTCGGGCCGTGCGATCCCGCGACACCGACACGAAGCCGTCGGGCGGGAAGAGGCCGGAGCTCAGGCCCCGCACGTCCAGCTCGTGCCCCGCCAGCGAGCAGCGCAGCCGGTACGCGCCCGCCATGGCGGCGGCGGTGGCTCCCCGCGACTCCGCGCCTCAGGCCGCGGCCTCTGACACAGCAACACCCGCCCCGCCGGAAGCCGCCATCAGCTCGCGCCGGAAGGAACATAACCGCCGCCCCACTACAGAGTAGAAGCAGAGACTACATCTCCCAGCAGCCCTCGGGCCACGAGCCTTCCGCGAGACTCCCCCCACCTCACGTTTGGCCGAAAGGAGGGCACGGGAGATTTCTACATGTCGCGAGAGCCGCCAGGCGCGGGTGGTGATTGGCTGCGAGCAGGATGGGGTGGGATAGATGGTTGCTGGGAGACCGGTTCGTGCATTCAACCGCTGCTCGGGCGTGGGGGCCCATCGGGTGAGCCTGCGCTCGCGGGGCCAACGGTTGCTCCCCCTCCTGGGCAGAGCGGGGCAAGCCTGCGCCGCGTCCCCGACCCCGCCACCCACTCCTGCTGCTTCCAGCCGTTCCTCGTGCCGCCTTGCCAGGGTCCCAGCGCATTGCCGCCTCAGACCCTCCACCCCTCGCCTCTAGACCCCTGCTCCTCAACCGGGGACCGCAGCACCGGAGACTGGGATCCTTGCGGGGGGGTACAAATATAAACGGAGGCCTCCGTGTGTTGCCAGCAGCTGGGACCGCAGCCAGGTAGCAAGTCGTCACCCCGTGGTTTCCTGCACCCTGTCTCAGGGTTTATCTTGAGAATCACATTTGCGCCCCTCACAGGGCTCCCCTTGTGCAGTCCCCCACAGCACCTTTTCAGAAGAGCCTGCAGCACCCTGATTTGAGTGTTGCTGCTCTGGGGTATTGCACCCGGATCATCTCTTTTGACCCCAAGGTTGGGACCTGCTGATCTGGAGGGATGCGCAAACCAAATGTCATCTCATTTGATTTTTCATTTGGTTTGCGCATCCTTCTAGATGGGCGGTTCCCAACCATGGAGTCACGATGCCATTTGATATGTGCCGATTAAAAAAAAAAAAAGGGGGTTGCAAAGATGCTCCACAGTGTTGGACGGTTAGGATGAAAATGGCAGGAAGAGCATGGGGAAAGGCGGGGTTTCCCTTGGGGGCAGGCAGGGCTCCTGCGGCTGCTTGGGGCTGGGGAGAGCGGGAAGAGGGTGATCAGGCAGGGTGATTATGTGCACGTGCGCCTGCACGTGTGCACGTGGCAGCCAAGCAGCATGAAGAGCAGCTCCCGCAGCTCCCTCCAAGTCTATGTGGGGGTGCAGATTGAGGCCCCTGTGGTGAGGGAGGGAAGGAGTGGAGCAGGGCCTGGCTGGGGGAGCAGGATGGAGCCACGGGCAGCTTGTCCAGGGAGCAGTGGGGGGGGGGAAGGAGGGTGGCTCCCTGCCACCGCACGCACTCCTGCGGAGGGTGGCATGGGGGGGCACGTGCCCTTCAAATTTGTATGCAGGGTTCACAACTCCATGCCGCCGCTACCACTGCTTCCAGGCAGGCAGGGAGTGCCTCGCAATGGCAGTGCAGCCGGCATGGGCTGCACTGCCCAGCAGCAGCACTGAGCCTCTCCACCCTGCTGTGTTCTTCTGAACCGGTCCCGCTTGCTGGACTGTGGAGGCCTCCAGGGGGAAAGTAGCAGGGCAGGGAGCCCCGAGCCCACAGTGGGCAGCCCGCATCCTTCCCTCCCCACAGGCTCCACTCCTGCCATGCTGCCTGTTGGGGGAGGGGGTGTTGATCTTGTCTACATTGTTTTGGGGTTGCAAAAAATTCAAATTTCCAGCGTTTAAATGGAGTCATGCTGAGGAAAAGATTGGGAAGCCCTGCTCTAAATTAATAATTCTCAGGCAGGGTGCTGCGGTGTTAGCATTGTTTGGCATAGGTGACACGTAAGAGAGGGTCCGGGGGGCACGTGCCACCCCTGAGATTAGCCAAAGCCGCTGCTGGCTTTTGCAGGCGGTCACCGCTCGCCACCCCTCCCCCCTTGCCACTGATGTCACCACTGGCATCTGTGGACATTCCCTGCTCACCACCAACACCACCGCTGGCATCTGTGGGCAGTCCCTGCTTGCCACTTGCCACACCCCCCCAGCCCCTGAAATGGCTGTCGGTGCAACAAAGAACTGGCTGTATTATTTTTTGTACTAAAAAAAAGTGAAAACTAAGAACTAGTGTTTTCTATGGGGTACCTGAAGTCTATCCAGGAGTGTCTTGAACCCAAAAAGGTTGAGAGCCAGATCTAGAGAATCTGCCTTTTTTCTCCCCCATAGAGTCAGTAACACGCTCCTGACTTGGCTTTTGGGGTGTGTGCAGTGCAGTCTGGGTGATCAGAGTCATGTCTGCAGTGCCCCCATTCCCTGTACTCTTACTAGCAACCTGAACTCTGTCCTGTAAACCATCAATTTGCTTTTTAAAATTATCCTTAGGAAAAACATATTTAAATGGTTTGGCTGATGGGAAACTGAATGCTGCTGCCACAGGTCAGTAAAAAAATATCAAGCATGGTTTTCAGAGATTCAGAGTCCCTACAGCTTCATTCACTCCAGTAAGCATTGTGGATTCCTAACAGATAGGGAAATCACTTACCAAAACCAGTCTACTTGTTTCCTAAGTCACCTAAAAACTTACCGCTTACTGTGTGGTGACTTCAGGCTAGATTCCAGTGGACAGTTGTTCAGATTACAGGTCCTACAAGTGTTGGCACTAGTTGTCATTTTTTAACAAGCAGTGAAGCAGAACTGCTTTTTCACCGGAGAAATGGACCTTCCAGATCATATTAGAGGGAGAATCTGAAAATTTGCTTCCCCTTTACAGTGTGGTACCACTTAAAGAATATAGAACTTATGTCTTTAGGGTTCAAGAACCTTTGGAAAACACTAAAATGACTTATGTGTATATGCATGCACACAATTAAAGACTTCTAAAAAATAATTGATCTGTTTGCCCTCTGTAACTTAAATGATCTGTGGACATTAGGACATGAACTAATAATAATAACTAATAACTAATAAACTACTTTCTAGGAGGAAGCTTAAAGTACATAAGAAATGGCAAGTAATCACAAGCCTCCTACAGCTCGTCCTTCTTCAAGAGGACCGGGACTGACAGCCAGGCCTTCGTCATCTCTGTTACAGACTCCATCAGCAACCAGAGTAGGAACAGGGGTGTGTTAAAATAATTTGTTTGCTGCAAAGTTTTAGTCTTTATCTGAATAGCTGTCATTTTTCTATAAGGAAAAATAGGGTACCAGATGATGATTGCTGGTGACCAAGAATGCATTCTTCATCTTTCATTCCAAGGTGGTTTTCTCCTTTATGTCATAACAGCACTGTTACTCCATATATTGGATGGAACGGATCCAGAAATTGGATGGAATGATCAGGGTCACTAGTGATAGCAACAAAAAGTCTTTTAGAAAAACTATCTATTCTGCAGACTGCTGCGTAAAGTGGAGATAACCAAGCTAACTTTAAATAAGCTACCTCAAGCTTGGGAAGCAGTTTAGTTGTATTAGCATGGAGAACTGCGTGGGCTAATTCACTTACTGAGAGCCAGAGTACCGTATTTACTTAGGTAAAGGCCGACACTCCCATTCCCCCCATTTAACATGATGGGGAAAAGCCCTCATCGTACAATCGAGTATGAGGCAGTATGGGGCAGGCTGCATCTGCAGCCCCCAGGGCCCAGCCTGCCCCACTGCCTCTGTATCCTCTGCATCCCCACTTCTCCATCCTTGCAGCCTCAAACCCTGCTGTCCCCACTGCTGCACTCCCACTTACTTTTGCTCCACTCCAGCAGTCTTCATTCTCACTTCAGCATGAAGCATGTGCTCCATCCCAACCCTGTAGCAGTAGTGTCAATCCTGCACCTCTGCTATGAGCTGTTCTCAGTGCCCCCAGGCTGCAGCAGAGCTGGAGCCTGTCAACATGGACCAAAGGCAAGAGTAAGGTGGAGGGGCAGGCAGGGGTAGAGACTTTGGCGGGGGAGTGGAGAGGAAGACTGAAGGAAGGGGAGTGGGTATTTGATGAGGTTGCTGGGGGCAGATGTGGTGTGGAGCAGGGAGAGGGGGCCTGAGGCTGTGAGGGACATGCAAAGTGGGGAAACTTGGGGAATAGAGGCTGGTGGCAGGGAGCAAGCTACCTGCTCCACATTGTCTGCCCCATTACTGCCTCCCCCACTGCCTGTCTCCCCACCCTCTGCCCTATTACTGCCCCCCGTCACTTATCCTCCCACTGCCTGCAGTAGTAGGGGGGGTATGAATATAAGATGATCCTCCAATAATTGGATTCTGTACATGGAAAATTATAATCAATTTATAAATGTTCTGTGTATAGAATTTTGGGGGGAATCATCTTAAATCGAGGGCCATCTTGTATTCAGGTAAATATGGTAAATCAGTTGATATTAAGCTTCAGGCTGCCATGGCTGTACCTTTTCTGATACCTGAGCTAACTTATTTTAAAGGTAGTTCAGTTATTAGAGAGATACATCAATGTCCTTATCTTTGCCTTCCTCTATGCTTTATTGACATTTTGGGAGTAATTTACATTAGATTTTCTTCTGTTCCTCTTAGACTTGGATAGTGGATAAAGGCTGAAACAAGGTTACATTCATGCTATTGATAAAATAACTATCAGTGCAGTCACAGCACACCATTACTACAGAATAATTTACTTCATAGGGGGCACATCTACGTGAGACATTTACTAAGACTACTTAGCTCTGCAGTAAAACATCAGTGTCTACATACGCTGCCCTAGTAGGACACAGAAAATAAATAAACTCCGCAGCAGGATAGTACTTGTAAATACAAGTAATATCCTACTGTGAAGTTATTTACTGCGCAACAACACACATCTAGATTCTGACATGGGAGTAAATTGTACCCAGTCAGCCCAGCCAACAGGGGGCCACATTCCTGCCTGCTGCCTAGCTACATGACCTAGCCAGCTCTTCTGCCGCCCAACGCAGTCACCTGGTGCCTGGCGACAACCCCTGTACCCCCTGCCAGCCTAGGGCTGCCCCCCAGGCCACACTGCTGTTGCGAGCCAGAGCCCAGGACTGACTCCTATGCCTCCTGCCAACTCAGGGCTGACACTTGGGCAGCTGTGGGCAGAGCCTGGAATTTCCTCTGGCTGCTACAGAGGAGCAGAGCAGGGCAGGAGCAGCCCTGGCCTAAACTGCTCCTCCTGCCTCAAATTACTGCTGTCCCAGGTACATGTATAAAAGCTAATCCCAGGAATACTTTACTGCTGTGTAAAGTACTTTGCAGTTTATTCAGTCACATTAATTGCACATGTAGATGCTCCCAGTGGGTGCATCTATACATGTAATTAATGCAACACAATAAACTCTAGAGCTGTTTGAGCGGGATTAAACTGCTTCCAGGCACAGTGACTACATGTGTTCCCAAGACAGCAGCAGTTTGAACTGGGGCATAGCAGGCCTGGGTTGACAGGAAGTACAGGGGGGTCAGCCCCAGGCTCCAGGTGGTAGCAGCGAGCAGTAGAGGGCCTGGCAGGAGGCAGGAGTCTAACCCCCGGCTGGCTGGGCTGACCAGGCACAATTTGCAGCCGGAGTCACCTTCCATGCATCCGTGTGATTGCAGGTAAGTATTCCTCTGTAAGATAGTACTGTCCCCAAAAGTATTACCTTATGGCAGAGTTAATTAATTTACTGCACCTGAATACTGTAGATGGTGATGCTTTACGATGGAACTAATTGGCCTACTCCACAGTAAAGCACATGTGTAGATGCACTCTGTAAGGAGTGAATACAAGATTAACCCAAACTCTAGTTTTTTTGCTGTTATACCATCTTGCCACTAAGTGGCAGAGGAGCTGGTTTGTACGGAGCACAGGCTATCTAGCCAGAGATGAAATTAAATTGCAGAGCAAACACATGATTGCTATACTAGTGTATAATTACTCCTTTCTTTCTGAATGGTGGCTTTACCCTGGAATGGAGTAACTTGCACTTGTACTGTGTATGCTCTACTTTTAGTATGGACTAACTAGAGTTAATAGATTCTTTAGTAAATATGTCATTGTGTTTTACACCAGGGTATAGTTATGCCTACTTTTCTGAAGGGTATCTTTACCATGGGGAGAAGTGACTTACACTACTATGCATCTGATTTCCATTCTGTTTTTATTCTGAAGTAAAGTGAAATTACTCTGGACTAAACAAGCAATAAAGATCTAAAATCATAATGTTTCTAACTGATAAAAGTACCTAAGCTCTAAGATTTCTAATACGCTGCTTAATAATTGCATAAACATTATCACCTGCTAATTATTATTCTAAGATGGGATTTTGTTTTCTTTGCCCAGATGCCCCCTGGTACACCAAGACCTGGGACTCGTGCTGGTCTCATGGGTACTGGTGGGGTCCTGTCAAGTCAGATTAAAGTTGCTGATCGTCCAGTGACACAACAGGGATTGAGTGGAATGAAAACTGGAATGAAAGGTATTGTAGAATATGTGAAAAAGTATCATAATATTGAAAAGTTTTTTAAACATTGTCAGTTGTTACTGTTTTGGAGGAACTAGATGGTGGAAAATATGTTTAGCTCTGGAATCTCAGAAGTCTGAATAAAACTCATAGGATTTGAAGGTTGAGTGAAAATTTAATTTAGCAGAATTGATAAGGATTTAAAGACATGCCTTGCACATAATGACATGGCTAGTTTCACACTTTCTTTTGTCATTGTGAAAGTAAAACTATATGGTAAATTTAATTAACTGTCTAGCATGCGAGTATGTATGCATGTTTACATGCCCATGTTGTCTAGAATATAAATCCCACTTCATTCCACAAAACATTGGAAGTGCATATCAAATTGAAAAATGTTGGTATGTCTGAGTGACAGCTTTAATCTGTGACTCCAGCTCATGTAGGTATGCTTAAGATAGCTTTAAAATAGTTGACTTGGTAGCAGTGTACGTGTGATACCATGGCTTCTCACCCATGCATTTTCCCAGGGTCGCACACAGTTTTGAAGTTCACAGTGAACTCTATCCTGTAGGAACTACACTGTGATCAGGATCTAAACAAGTGTAAAGCTAATATGACTGTAGGAGGTGCAGTACATTTTTGACTGCATTGCAGACATACATTTATTCTGTATTGAACACGTGCACGTGCATCAATACACACAATGTTAGGAGAACCTCCTAAGCTTGCAAAATAAAACACTCAAAAATTAGCAAAATGCCAAAGTTAAAGTTGAACTCTTAATTTGGTGCCCTTGTGTACATATATTGTTTTTAACTCAATGATCAGATGCTATATTTTCACAGAATTTCTGCGTCATTTTGTGCACAGAATAGAGTGCTTACTTAATAAACAGCTGTTTAATATTTTGTCCTCTTTGTTTAATGTACATTTCTTATTAATTTCCTCATGAGCCCTGACACTTGTTGCTACACTGAATGCTTCACAGTTAATTCATTTCAGAGGTCCTCTGTAAGGTGAAGAGATATGATTACCCCCATTTAAAGAGAAGGAACTGAGACAGTAAAATTAAAGTTAGATGTGTCCAATAAATTTAGATGCTGTAACTGGACTTTATCATTCTTAGAATGATGTAGAATCTAAATGTTCAAAAGAGAGTTCATTTTGATTTCACCTGTATTTTTGGTGCTCACTATTCGTACAGATCAGACCCCTGGATCATGTCAGGCACCGAAGAATAAGGATCATACAGTTATTAACAATGTATGAAAAGTTCCTTTTAAAGTACTGACTGAGCATCACATAAAAATTCTGTGACATAGGCAGAGACCTAATTAGCAAGAATTGAGTCCCATTGTTGAGAACAGCACTCAGCTTTGTTAACTAGTTCATCCCTAGGGCATTGGTTCATCCCCAGAGAAGCTTTATTCTGTGTCTGAAGGAGGCAGAGATTTTGTGAAAAAAATAGTTTTTTCCCCAAGTACCTCTCCACCTTTACCTGTACCGCTACATCCCACTCCCCCCCCGCCCCTGCCTGTCTATCACCCCTGACACCTCTATTTCCATTTTCACTGACTGGTTTTCTTGCCTGCATTGCATCCAAGCCTCTGGCTTCTTTACTATTCCTTCCATCCAGGAACAGCACACACACACACACTAACTGCAGGTGCTTCCTCAGGCTGCCAAAGGGTTTTTTAACTCAAAAGCTTGCTGAGATATATTTCTGTAACTATTCAGTTGGTCTGCTAAAACATACCACAGTTAAACTGACACAAAAGAAAGGGTCTTGTCTGCCAGTGCCATGTCCTTAGACCAACACTCCTAGCACCTGACTGCAAGAACATAAGGCCCTGGGCACATCTAAGCCTCAGGGCTGGGGCTGGCAGGGAGAGTTCTCTGGCAGCTGTTGGAGGAAAAGCCCCTGCAAGAAAGGAAAGAAAAGCTCTGTCATCATTTGGCTGCCTGAGGTGCTGCTGGTGCTACTGTGCTGCTGCTCACTATGTTATAATTTACCTTTTGTCATTTAAAATGGTGGACCAAGCTGAGGCTGTAGAGGAGGAGGAGGCCTCATTGGGGCAGACTACTGTGTCATGTAGAAGCCCCAGTGCCAGTGAGGGCCCACCTTAACACATACAGTGTCACCCATGTCATGAGTTTTGCTTGTCAGCAGTTTGAGGTGCAGCTTCATGGCCTCAGAAGGGGCTACCATCTCTACAAGTATCATCCAAATCAGGCAAGAAATGACAGTCATAGGCAGTTTCATGCTTCTCCGTTATGGCCTATGGGCAAAACAGTGAAATAGCTTTAACAAAATGAAATGGAACACAGTGGTTTTGAAATGAAATGAAACGTGAAATGAAATGCTGTCCTGTAGAAACAGAACTGTGCTGTTTTGCACAGCTCTTAATTGCAGTACATACTGCATCTAGTGAAGTGTCTGAAATCTTTGTCAAGAAAGGCTAAAATGACTTATTCTCTTAAATGAATCAATTGTAATGTAACCAAATACAACTAATGGGGGTTAGAAAGAAGAGACAGATTGAGTCCCTCCTTTTTTGTTCTTGCTTCTAAAACTCTCAGAAGTAACAGACTTCTATATTCTGTATTAAAGATGTTTCTCTTTAGTCCCAGAAGGACACATTCTTCATATACTTCTCCTCTTCAAAGCCCATTAACCACTGGAAAAAAGCTTTAGGATTGAATGGGGTATGGGGGGCAGTGGAGCTCTTTGCAGCTCATCACACCCGAGGCTGGTTTTATGATAACTTGGTTTCATGTATTTAGATTTCCTTCATACATTATCAGCTGGAAATTTCTCTTTGCGGTTGGTAGACCAGCAAAGGAGTTTTGGATCACTGCAGAGCTCTGGTAGTGTTATTAGGATAATCCTTGTATTGTAGGTGGCCAAGAGTTGGTACATGCCCTGCTGAATGAGTTTGTCAGCTGTACAGTAGATTGCTACTGAAATAAATTTCATAGATTTTTTCGGGTCAGAAAAGGCTTCAGTAGATCATTGAGTCCAACTCCCTGCCCTGGGTAAGAAAGAGCGCTGGGGTCATATGACCCCAGCCAGGTGCTTGTCCAGTCTTCTCTTAAAGACCTCCAGGGTCAGGAAGAGCACCACCTCCATTGGAAGCCCATTCTAGATTCTGGTAACCCTTGCCATGAAGAAGTTCTTCCTGATGTCCAATCTAAATCCGTTGTCTGTCAGTTTGTGGCCGTTGTTTCTAGTTACCCCAAGGGGCGCCCTGGTAAACAGCATATCTCCTATTCTTTGCTGCCCCCCCCCACCCCCGATGAATTTGTAGCTGGCCACAAGATCACCTCTCAGCCTTCTCTTGCGGAGCCTGAAGAGATCCAGGTCCCTCAATCTCTCCTTGTACACCCTAACCTGCAGGCCCCTAACCGTACAAGTAGCCCTCCTCTGGACCAAGGTTATCCACGTACTTCTTCAAATGCGGTGCCCAAAACTGGACACAGTACTCCAGCTGCGGCCTTACCAATGCAACATGGAGAGGGAGTATCCCCTCCTGAAGACCTGTTTGCCATGCACCTGCTAATGCATGATAGAGTACGGTTAGCTTTACTTATCACCTTGTCACATTGACGACTCATGCTTATCTTGGAGTCTATGACTCAGAGCATTGGCAATGCTGTGGGGGTGCATGCGGGTGCCCGTGCACCCCCTGTGAAAAGGGGTGCCACTTGCCACCCCCACCCCTCACTGCCAACATCACCGGCTGGCATCTGCGGGTGGTCAGCGATCGCTGCTGGCTGCTGCTGGGTGGTCACCGCCTCCGGTCAGTGCTTGTGCCAGCTCATGTCAATGACGGCGGTGTCTGCGGAAGCTCCCCACTTACTGATGCCGCGCTTCCACCACCGCCAGTGCGCTGTGTCCCTCTAGCCTGCGGGCACGCATTGTTTATGATTCTGAGATCCCTTTTTGCCACTGTGCTACTTAGCAGGTCATCTCCCAATCTGTATGTGTGTTGGTGATTCTTTCTCCCTAGGTGCAGCATTTAGCACTTACCCTTTTAAAACTGCATCCTATTCTGCTCTGCCCACTTTTCCAACCTGTTCAAGTTTGCCTGAATCTGTTCCCTGCCCACCCATGTATTTACTTTACCCCATAATTTGGTGTTGTCCACAAATTTGGACAGAGTGCTTGCCATGCCCTCATCCAAGTCACTGAACAGCAGTGGTCCAAGGACCGAACCCTGGGGGACCCCACTGCCTACATCTTTCCAGGACGATACCGATCCATCCACCACCACTCTCTGGGTGCGTCCCATAAGCCAATTTACCACCCTCTTGACCGTGTTATTATCTGTGACACAGCTGCTTAGTTTATTTATAAGAATGGGATGAGACACCATATCAAAGGCCTTTTTGAAATCCAGGTAAATCACATCTACCTCGACTCCTGCATCTAAGCATTTTGTGACCTGGTTGTAAAAAGAAACAAGGTTAGTGAGGCAGGATCTACCTGCTATGAATCCATGCTGCTTGCCTTTCAGCATCATTTTTCCTGCTGGATTCCCACAAATGTGTTCCTTAATAAGTTTTTCAAACATTTTCCCAAGGATAGAAGTGAGACTAACCGGCCTATAGTTACCTGGATCTTCCTTCCTCCCTTTCTTGAAAATAGGGACCACATTGGCCCTTTTCCAGTCCTCTGGGACCCATCCTGAGTACCACAAATGCTCAAACAGTCTTGCCAGTGGTTCTGCTATGACACTAGCTAATTCCCTCAGGACCCTTGGATGAAGATTGTCTGGGTCTGCTGGCTTAAGCATGTCCAGCCCCTCCAAGTCTCCCTTCACTAGGCTGGCGCTAACTGTTGGTGGGCTGGTGTCCCTCTTGTGCCTGTCTCTATTCTAACTGGGGGAGATGTCTTTATCCATGTTCAGGAATACATATGTGAAAAAACTCACTGAAGAGCTCAGCTTTGTCACTCCTATCTGTCACCACTAGTCTGTCCTGTAGGCGTCCTATGTTGCCATGCATCTTCTTTTTGCTCCTTCTATACCTGAAGAAGGATTTTTTGTTGTCTTTCATTTTTGATGCTGACCTGAGTTCTGTTTCCTGAGATGGACATCATTGTGGAAGGAATCTAACCCAGAATCACTATCAAATGAGTGAATAGAGTGACTGAATAACATTTAGACTTGCAGTAAGCTGTCACAGGTGTTTTGCTGAGTAAACTGGGAAGAGAGCAGGTAAAGTATCTCCAGGTGATTTCAGCCTTAGGAGAGTCCAAAAAAAAGACACAGCTCAAGGCAGGAGACTTGTTAACTCTGATTCCATGGCTGGAGTGGATCAGACTGCAGGAAGAGTTTCTCAGAACTCAGCAGGCTGAAACAACACAGAAGCACCACATGTGAAAGGTGGAAAAAACTGGAACAGAATTGGCGCAGAAACTGAAAATAAAACCTTAGCTGAGGTGAAAGTTACAGAAAGCAGGGTTAAGTTAAATGTTCCTGTGATGATTTGTCATGTAATGTCTTTATTTTCAATTCACCTCTCTCTTCTAGCAAAATTTCATATTGTTTTTAGGGCAAGTTATTGTTTTCATGACTCCTGTGTCTTTGAAGGATTTAGCCAGTTATCATAAAAAATGTCAGTTGTTTAAGTAATCTAAATCCTCACAAAAGTATTTCTTTTATTTGGATGGATTGATTGAATAAAGTCCATGTGAGGTCACTGAAGGTGGTGACTGTGTTTTGAAGTGTAATTTCTGCAGGTCCTTTGTTGTCATGAGCTACAACTCAATAAAATGCATTGCCTTCTAACAAAATGTTACTTGTTCTTTTTTGCTAGGTCCTCAGCGACAGATTATGGATAAATCCTATTATCTTGGATTACTTAGGTAGGTTTGTGGCAGTGTTTTCAAACTGGAACATGGCTAATGCCCTCTACCTTCCCATCATCCTTTTCAACAAATAAAATACAATCTCATAAAATTAGTAATAGCCATACTTTTTACTTATTTAGATTGGCTGTACATTTATGAGGGTTGGCTGTATACATCGTAAGATTTGAAGGAACAAGGAGGGACTTTGTTCTGGGGTGAATGTCCCAAGAACGTTCTCTTTCCAAGAATAAATTGGCTTATTTGTTTTTTATTGCACTGAAGTCTCATTTTTGTTCTGGCTTAAACTCAAGTTATCCACAATAGGTTAAGGCCTTCTTAGTTTAGCCTAATTTTAAATGAGTCATCTGTCTACAGAACATCACAGTGTATTTGGATTAGCAGCCTGAGTAGTTTAGCATTCAGTGCATTGTTAACTTGAGTGGCAGCTACTTTGAATTTAAAGCATCACTTGTGCTAGAGACTTTTTTGAATACATCTTTGCTGGGCTGTGGGCAGCGCCTGAGGTATTACTTCAAGCTAGCACTACAGGGAAGGTAATCTCTGGGAATCTTATAAAGCTTTGTCACAATTGCTTCACTTACTTGAGTTAATGGGCACTGCTTTCTTCTACATATGTCGTTCCCTAAGGTTTAGTTTGAACAGGTTCAGAAAGATTACAAAACTAGGAAGTTTCTTGAAATGTCTAGTGTTTTTGCCATCATCACATCCCAATAAAAATGAGGAAAGAATGACAATAGATTTCTGAGATATTGCTCAGTACTAAAAGTTTAGTGACCAATTTATATATTCTTATGTATTATATTTGCTAAATTAATCCTGCCTCTTGAAAACAATTATAGAACATTTTCTTAACTATGAGACAATAAAACATTGTTTTTGCCATTGTTCTTTAACTAAGTGCTAAATTACTAGTACTGTGCTAATACTGTCCATGTGGCTTGTGTGAACAGTCTCCTGATCATTTAATACATTACCTAATAAGGGAGTGAATTCAGTGGCATGTTTCTTGGTTGACTGGTCAGTTAAGGTCCAGCAAGCATCACAGGATCACAGGAAACTAGGGCTGGAAAGGGCCTCAACTAGTCCAGCCTCCTGCTCAGGGCAGAATGGTCTCTGACTAAACCATCACAGCCAAGTGTCTGTCTAACCTGCTCTTGAAAATTTCCAGGGATGGAGAGTCCACAGCTTCTCTAGATAACCTGTTCCGATATTTGACCACTCTCATAGTCAGAAAGCTCCTCTTAATCTCTAACTTAAATTACCTCTGCTGCAGCTTGAGGTTATTGCTTCTAGTTTGATCCCATATAGCCACAGAGTATAGTCTATCTCAATCCTCTCTGTAATTGCCCTTCAGGTATTTGAAGACTATTATCTAATCTCCCCTCAGTCTTCTGTTCTTCAGACTAAATAAACCTAGTTCTTTCGGTCTTTCCTTGTAAATCATGCTTCCCAGGCCCCTAATCCTTTTTGTTGCTCTGTTCTGGATTCTTTCTAATCTATCCATATACTTCTGAACATATGGGGCCCAAAATTGGACACAGTACTCCAGGCCTCACTAGTGCTGTATAGATCAGAAGAACTTCTTCCCATAATTTGCAAGTGAGACTCCCATTAATGTAACCCATTATGCCATTGGTTTATATTGCAACAAGAGCGCACTGTTGGCTTATATTCAGCTGGTGGTCAAACATACCCTGCAGGCCGGATCCAGTATGGAGAGCTGCTCTGTCTGGCCTGCCAAGTTACCAGTGAGCAACTGGAAGTTGTGGGGCATGACCATGGGAAATGATCTGCCACAGAATTCAGTCCCTTGGAATTTACTAGTCTCTTGTGGCCCCACCAGCCCTGCCACTGCCATGTACCATGTGCTGGACTTCCTGCTGTGTGCCCCGTGCCAGAGCCAGAGCTGCAGCTGTGACCCAGGACACAGGCATGTGGCATCAGTGGCAGCTTTGGCTCCAGCATAGAGCACATGGCAGGATCTGGTGCTGCTGCTGACACTGTTGAGTGCCCTGGGACAGATCTGGAGCGGCTGCTGCCACCACATGCCCCAGACTGGATCTGTCCCACAAGAGGTTCCACAGTCTGGATCAGGTCTGGGGCATGCGGTGAGTTTGACACCCCTGGTCTACTGTCACTCCCAGGTCCTCCTCTGTAATACTTCAGTCTAGCCATCCATTTCCCAATCTGTATTTGTGCATGCAATTATTTCGTCCCAAGTGCAGGACACTTGCACTTGCCCTTTCTGAATTTCATCTGATGGAATGTGGACCATTTTTCTAGTCTTTCCCACTCATTCTGGATTCAAGTTCTACCTTCCAGAGTGTCTGCAGCTCCACCCGACTTGGTGTCATTGTAGCAGGCTCGTGGCCACTGGGGCAGCTTTGATGCTCCCTGGTGGCTGTGTGGCCCCTGCCTGGCTCAGGCTTGACTGTAGCCCACCACACTTTGTTCTTATTGAAGTTTGTGTAAGGGAGGCTACCCCTGGGCTCTGAGTGAGCCTGACCCCGTTTCAATCCCTATTGGACCTCTGTCAGGTCCCATTAGTCACAATCCTGCCTCCCAGTTTAGTAGGCCCTCTCAGCTTGTCCATACTTCTAAATTGCAGGGCTCCATTCCTTCCCTACACTGTGCCGTAAGCCTCATAGATGTCATAAATCCATGATGTTCTCACTTCATACTCTTGACCCCTGTCTGGATCCTCAGGCCTCCTGGTTCCTTACTTAGCTTCTCCCTGAGCTCTTGGACACCTGGTCCCACACATAGCCCATTCTCTGGGTTCTCAGAGCTCTGGTCCCACACACAGCTCCTCTCTGGGCCCACAGTCTCATCTCCCCTTCTGGACTTGGGGACCCTTTAGTCCAGGTCAACCCCCTGTGGGCCCATGGACCCTCTGGTCCAGGTCTTTAGCAATAAGTCTCAAGCCTGCCCCAGCAGGGCTCAAGGCTAAACTCTAGTTAAACTAAATCAAAGCACCTGCATCTTCTAGCAGGCACCCCAACCCTCTTTGGGCTTAACCTAAAACCAAAGCCACCTGCCTACAGATAGGCCCCAGATAGATAGGCTTCTTCTCTGCCCCAGATACCTTCCCTTATCTCCTGGTCTGAAAAGTTTCTCATTGAGCTCCACTGTCAGTTCAGGAGTTCTCCTGTCATCAGCTCCTCCCTTCATAGCTGCCAGGGCTGCAAGGTACCTTGCACCTTCACCTTCTCAACCAAGTTCTCCCTCTTTGTGAGCAGCAAGTTGAGAAGAGTTTCCCCCTAGTTGGCCTCTCTACCGTTTATACCAAAAAGTTATAACAACCACTCTGCAAGAATTTGTTGGACAGCCTGTGTTTTCCTCCCAGCAGATGTCCTGATAATTAAAGTCCCCCAAGAAAACTAGGTCCTGTACTTTGGCAACTTCCGTTGGATGTTTAAAGCAGGCCTTATCCATCTCATTTGGTGACATATAGCACCCCCTCGCCCCCACCACTGTTGCTTTCCTCTCTGACTTTTACCCAAGGGCTTTCAAAAAGCATACCTTCCACTTTGTACAGCACTTACATGTCTATCTCCATTATATATAGGGCAACACCTACTTCTTTTTTTCTCCCTGCCTGTCCTTTCTGAACAATTTGTACATATCCATGACAGTACTCCAGACACATGAAGTGTCACACCACATCTCCATAATCCCAATTACATCATAACTTCTCAATTGTTCCTTTTCTTCCTGTTTATTCCCCATGGTTCTCTCACTAATATATGAATATCTTAGGTATCTTGTTACTGGACTTTAATGTTAGACTTCAGGTAGTGGCACTGAAGTCATAAATGCTTGGGCGAGAGGGTGCTTGTACATGTGATGCCATTACCATGTACACATGACAGAAATCTCAATGGCATAACACTGTACGCATGCAAGAGTTTTGGGGGTTTTAAATGAGTTTGCATTGTTGCAAACTAAACTACATCCAGATGTAGTTTAGTTTGCAATGTTGCAAATTGCAACAATGCAGCTGTCAGCTTGTACCCCACTCCTCTGCTATGAGCAAGGCAGGCAGGCTCCACAGAAAAAAAAAGATGGGGCCCCTTGCCGCTTCTGCCTTCATTAGGCTTCTGCAGCCGGCAGGATGCCTTGGGCTGTCTGGAAACGGGCTGGCTTGCTCCTGGGACAGTGTGGGAAGGCAGCAGAAGGGTGTCTGAGTTTGCTGGTGGCTGGAGAAGGTGGCAGAGATGGTGCACAGGGTGCTGGAAGCCTGGGCCATTGTCCCTGCCACCTTTTCCAGCTGCCGGCAAACCCAGCTGCCTTCTTGCTACTTTCCCACACTGTCCCAAGGGAAGTCAGCCCTTTCTTGGGCAGCCTCAGGCATCCTGCTGACCACAGGAGCCTGCTGAAGGCAGAAGCAGTGAGGAGCCCAATCCTTTTTTTTGCAGAGCCTGCCCGCCTCTCCTGCAGTCAGAGGGCGAGCTGCCAGTGGGATGAGTGGCCGTAGAGCTGCAGGGAGCCCTGGTCCTTCCTTCTGCAGTAGCAGAGCACCCCTGGGGCCACCCAGATGGGCTTCTAGCAGGCTGGGTGCTACCCTAGCTTGGGTTCAGGGAAGAGCTGGATTGGGCTGGGTGCTGCCTCTGAGCTGGGGCAGCACCTGGCCTGCTAGCAGCCTGCCAGGGTAGCCCCAGGGGGCACTGCCACCATGGATGGGAGGACCAGGGCTCCCCACAGCTCAGGGACCACTTGGCCAGCTGGCAGCTTGCCCCCCTGCCGTGGGGAGGCTCCAGGTCAGACCAAAAAAAAAACACCCGAGGACCGGGCCCCTCAACATAACATGATGGAAAGATTGAAACAGTTTAGTTCTCAGGGTTTTATACTATGCCCCACCATTTCAATTAAGGGATCATAGAATAAAAACCTGAGGACTAAACCCCTGTCACGTGTAGAAGCGCCTGAATAGTCCGTTCTCTGAAGAGAGCATTTACTGAACACAGCGATTTGCAGTTTCAAGCATAAGACAAAGAAGTAACAGAAAAACTTTGCCTAAGCTAAGACACAGCTAAATAAGACACAACAACACCACACAACTTAGAACACACAATTTAGCTTAATTCAAGACACAGCAGAAACATTTTGTTTAAGCTACCTGGCCCCTTCCCTGCTACTGCAGGTCATACACTCAACATCTGTCACATAGCTTCAGAATTACTTAAAGGGCCAGAGACTGTTAATTATGCCATGTGTTTGCCAGCAATCGCCTCCTTGATGGCCATCCTGGAGGAGCCATCTTTATTATTTTTAGGCTCAGTGTGGTAGAGGGTTGAGGCCTATCCAGCTCAGTGCCTAGTAGGTTGCAGTCACCAGCAGAGTAACTTAATTCTTCTTGATAACGCTCTCACTATCTTCATCCACTCTTGCCCCAGCCTTTTTTATGACTGTTCACCTTATGATATGGGTCTGGTATTGGTTGCGACAGACTCCACTTTCTTTACATCTAATGGGTTGCAACCATTAGAAGAGACTGATTTTCTTTGTGTCCATCTTCTTATCAACCCAGTCTTGCCCCAGCCACTGTTCTTTATGCAGGAGGGCCTTTATTATGACTTCCTTGGCCATTGAAATTTTCAGGTGATTACATTAGCAATACATATAACATAACATTACAAATACAGCCATAGCCAATAACATTTGAGCTAAGAACTACAAACATTAAAACTACTTAAATTTATGTAAACATGTTACATCGCAACATACAGTTGGTTATAGTTCATTTTAAACACCTGGAATTGCCAAAAATGTAACTGATTGCTCTGTCTTCCCCCTGAGAATATTGCTAAGGCTTCCACTACTGCTTCTGCTTACTAGGTTTTTATCTAGGTCTCCTAGCATTTTACTTACCCCTGGACTTTTAACTCCATCCCTTGGTGAACCTGGTTTGAAACCCTCCTTGCTAAATTAGCAAGCCCATATGTAAAGGTAATCTTTCCTCTCCTTGTCAGGTAGACCCCATCTCTTCCCAGTATTCCTTCTTGGAACACCACTTCCTGATTGAAGAAGCCAAAGCCCTGCTGTTGACACCATCTGCACACCTATGTGTTGATCTCCAGAATGCATCTGTTTAGTAACGTGCTGAGGAAAAATTAGGAAAGCGCTAATTTAGAGCAAGAAGTAACATTTTGTAATGGTGGAACATACTAGCAATCCATATGCTATAATTGAGGTCACAAGTTAAGTAATTGGAGATGTCACTAGAAGCCTTCATGCTGTAGCCGAGTGAGACACCATGAAATACACTCAAACCACATGGTCCTGCTTTGCATACATCAAATCTGAGGAGTATGGCAATGCAGCCACCCTAGAACAGTCCTGGGTATCCAATTGACATACCTGAGACAGAGAACCTATTTCTAGCTCTGGATGCAAGATCAACTGCCCTATTACCCTTGACTGGAAGGTGATGAGAACACCACCTGGGCTCCTGCCCCCTTTACTCTTGCACCCAGAGCTGCCTATTTACATGTTCTGTTCAGGGTTGCCCTGGCAGTATCATTGATGTTTACGTGGATGAGCAGCATGGGATAGTAATCAGAGGATAAGTCTCAGGATCACTCTGTTTTCTCCCCTTCCTGCTCATGCCTTTTAGCAGCTTGAGACACCCAATGCCATAAGAGGAAGAGAGACTGAATAAATATGAATATTTATAAATTTATAATAAATTATAAGATGTATCCTACAATACATTTTAAATATGAGTGACTTTGTTTCCTGTTCACAGAAGCAAAATAAGTGAACTCACAACAGAAATTAATAAGCTGCAGAAAGAAATAGAAATGTATAACCAAGAGAATTCTGTCTACCTATCATATGAAAAAAGGTGAGTCATGTTCTAATTGAGCATAGCTAAATATCTTATCAGTTGCTTATTATTTGTTATATCAGACAAGAATACTAGTGCCATCTGAACTGCAGAACATTAACAGTTGATAGTTTTCTGATTTTGTTTTGCTGCACTGAAGACTCTCTTTCATAACTTTGTTTTCTGTTTTGTTTTGCTTTGTTTTGCCGTGTATCTAGGGCAGAGGCATTAGCTGGTGAAATCAAAGAATTTCAAGGTCAACTTGCAGATTATAATATGGTATGCTACTCTCCACTTTTTTATATCAAATTTTTCCCCATTAGGATTGTATGTTGAATATATTGGTTTTGACTTTAGTTTCTTTTTCACCAGTGTATCTCCATTGAAAAAAAATACTGATTAGTTAATGGCTTTAATTCAGTTATTAAAGCAGAAACAAATACAGGCAACCTCCACTTAACACTATTTCACTTAGCGCTGTTTTGCTATAATGCTCATTTTATATTCACACCTGATTCCACTTAGCGCTCAGCGAGTTTTGTTATGACGTTCATGATTGCCATCTTGGTTTTAGTGTACTTCATAGTATCTCCCCCAGGCACAGCATGGAGGTATCTAGTGACATCTCTGATGACTTAATCTGTGACCTCAAGTAAAGTATATGGATTGTTAGTACATTACACCATTACAAAGCGTTACTTCTTGCTCTCAGTGCTTCCCAAACTTTTCTTCAGCATGACCCCATTTTCTCAGCATGGCCCCTCACTCCCAACCCATAGCCCACCACCTCTGTGACACCATCTCAGGTCACGACCCACAGTTTGGGAACCACTGCTGTATGTGTTCATATTAAGACATTTTTAGTGATACCCTAGAGTTATATTGTATGTATATTGTGACTTACTAGGAATCCATCAAGTTGCTTAGATTTCACGAATATGTCCATACTACTTCTCTGGCACTCCTTAGTGTACCACTGAGAAGCATAGCCTTCCCCATCAGCTCCCACGCTGCAGGCACCAAAACTGGAAAGATAGTAGCAAAGCTACTCTGGGGTAGCTGCTTCCACACCTTGTTTCTGGTGTGTTTGAGAGTGACAGTGGTGGCTGCCATTGTTTAAAAAAATGTTTCCTATGAGTTCTGCAATGCTAGTTGATTGATCAGCATGTTTCATAGCTACAGTTAAGCTGTTTAGGAAGTTAAGCTAATCAGAGTCTGAACTGGAAAATTTCTTAATTCCAAATTTGGGAGGAATTGAAAAATAGATTTAGTTTCTGTTTGGCACAGTAAAGAGCAAAGCCATAGAGAGGAAAATATTTTGAGCCTTGTAAGGAGGAGAAGAGAACTAGGGGGGGAAAAAAGAGTATGTGGTGTATATTCGATGAGAAGCAGTTGCATTTGGATGTGAGAAATCAGTATTGCTTCCATAATATTTACATTTATTATTTTTTGCATTGTTATGCAGTGATTATTAAGTATGAATACTGTGTGTAATCTATTTGGTTTCTAAGCCAGATTTTTATGTTTGTCATAACAAAAGACTATTGCTCACTTCTTTTGCTACATCTTCATACAGTATTTCATGAGTTTTCTTTTTTCTTCCGTGCTTCTGTTGTGTGGTTAAAAAAGAGAGCAAGCCTTAACTATTTCAACTTCTGTCTTGTTTCAGCTAGTGGATAAACTTAACACCAATACTGATATGGAAGAAGTGATGAATGATTACAATATGGTAAGAACTTGAATGCTTGCCATGCAAGTATGATTTTTACAATGCAAGAGTATATATTACAGGCATGATATATTCACTGCTTTTGCACGTACATAATTTTCTTGAAATAGTGTCTTATCTGTTAGTCATGTAAGCAAAACTATGAATGCCATGCTGTTTGTGGGACTGGGTCCTACACAAGTTATATGATTTATTTCTTCAGCTATTTATAAAATAACTGGTGTATATTTTTTACTTTGTTACAACTTATCAGATAACAAATTTAACATTAAAAGATGCATTCAATCCCCTAAAATAATGACAAACATTTATCTTCCATCAGCAGCACTCCCTTAACCAAGTCAGTGTCCACAGAAGTCTTGTGGGTTTTCTTCTTTTCTTTTCAAAAGAACTGATATTTTTACTACATCTTATATTCTTAGAAATACTACTAAGTTGGGGGCCAATTGATTCCTTTTCTGATTGAAGAGGACAAAACTTACAGTACTATTATAGTTCCTTACACAAACTTAGCGTTCTTCACTGATTCACTGATTTTCAGCTATGCTGGACATATAAAGATGTCACAAATGGCACAGAGATTAGAGCAGTACAGGCAGTCCTCAGACTTATAACACAATAGGTTCCTGAAGACCTGTTGTGTCTTAAGTCGAATTGTTGTAACTCAGAACCAGTTTTCGCATAGGAACAATGTTATAAATGGGGGATTGGTTCCTTTACATTGCTGGATACAGCTGTGTGCAGCTTGTAAGTGTGTTGTGGAAAGGGAGGAGGGAGGGAAGGGGCATGGGAGGGGCAGATCAACCTCCCCATGGTGAGGAATGGAAGGAGGGGCAGGGGCTAGGACAGAGGCTGGGGCAAGCACTACCCATCCGGGGCAGGAGGGGCGCGGGATGAAGCTGCGGCTCATCCAAGGGGTGAAGGGAGCGGAGGGTGGCTCCTGCCACCACATGCTGCTAGTCTGGGAGCTGCTTGTCTGGTGGCTTGTCTGGCTGCTCCCATCACTCGTCGGGGAGACCATGGGGGAGGGCATGTGCCCCTGGATCTGTGCAGGGTGGGTGGGGCTGCACAGGGGGACCGTGGAGGCAATGGGGGGGCTTCAGTGAATTTTCAGGTGGCTGCAGCCCCCCCACAACCCCTGCTCTGCCACCTGCCCCACCCTGATCTGGGGGCTCAGGCCCCTACCCACGCTCTCGCGCTATTCACCCAGCCAGGAGCTGTAGCTTGTCTGGAGGAGCACAGGGAGGGGGTGGCGGCTCCTGCCACTGTGCACTGCTTGTCTGGAGTCAGTGCAGCGGCTCCATCCTGCACTTGCCCCAGCTGGGCAAGCGGCAGCGGGGCATAGCCTCTGGTCCCAGCACCACCACCGCACACCCAGAGCACAGCCTGGTGCAGCCCCAGTCCTGCCAGCCCTGTGCAGATCCAGATTCACTAACCACCCCATGTCCTTCTGGATGAGCGGCAGGTGCAGCAATGGGAACCACTGGCTGAGCCTCCAGACGAGCAGCTCCCAGACCAGTGGCACGCAGTGGCAGGAGCTGTGCCCTTCCCCCAACACCCCCATGCCCTCTGTCCCTGTCCTAGCCCCTGCCCCTCCCTCCCTCACTGCAGGGCATTGATCTGCACCCCCCACACCCCTTTCCTCTCCCCTCCTTTTCCAGAACAACAGACTTAGCAGCTGGACACAGCTGTATCAAGCATTATAAAGTCAAAACCCACATTGGAACCACAAAACAGGGTGCCAATTTATAAAGGTTGTAAGTGCTGTTCGTCATAACTCAAAAAGTTGTAAGTCAGGGACTGCCTGTATACTAATATACAACCAGAAACAGCCAGTAAGTACACCAATAATTTTCCCCTGTGGTCAAAAATCTTGCCCTTTTTCCTTCATCTAGGTTTTAAATTCCTCTTAAATTAACAGGATTAGAAGCTTAACTTTATTGTATATATTGACTCTAGACAAACATTTGGATGGCCAAAGTACTTATTATGGGCAACTGGTGCCACCTTAGTCAGCAGCTGGGGGAGGAATCCCCCCAAGGCCAATGTCGCTGACTGGGGGTCGGGCGTCCACAGCCACTCCCACTCCCTGGCCGGCACTGGGGGCGCCTGCCTCCCCTGCCCATTTCCTGAGCGGTGAGTACAGCTGGTCAGGGGATGCAGCCCTACGCATTACCACCGGTGCTTATGTTCATTAATAAGTTGTGTTCAAGTAACAGTGTATATGTTCACCTAATTATACTGGAAGAGAAAATGAATAATTTAAAACTATTTTACAGTGTTTGTTTTATTTCTCCCCCTCAGTCAGCCACTGCAAGACACTATAAGCCAAGTGTCACAGATCCTGATCCTTCAAAAACCTATGCATATGTTTACCTTCAATGCACAAGTAGCCTCACTGACTTCAGCAGGCTTCTTGTACCTTTTAAGTCAATGTTTCCAGTCTTTAGAGTAGGCTGTGCAACTGGGGGGCCACAAGCAGTGCCAGTGTGCAGCCCCTGAGCCACACACTATGCAGGCAGTGTGCTGCAGGGTAGGCCCCCCCTGACCCCACCTGCTGCACAGGTTACACCAGTGGCACACAGCCACTGTCACAGATAGGCAGCATGTGGATCCCTGTCCTCTTCCCTGAAGGCTGCACAGGTGGTACACAGGCCCCACCACATGGCAGCAGGAGAGACAGCCACTGGAGCCCTCAAAATGGGTGTTAACTGCTCATGGGCATGTGTTGGCCCCTTGCAGGCTAGGTATTGGGGATGTGTGAAACAGGCCATATTTGATTCGTATTTGGCCCAAGTCGGGGGACATTGATTCTATTAGTTGATTCAGATCACTTTCCCAATTCGACCAAATCCAAATCTGAGAGAATCAGCAATTCAACCATAGTTGCAGCTTTAAATCTTTTTTTTTACATACCTTGAGGTATATACCAGGCTTGCCTCCTGAACATTGAGATGGTGGGGCGGATGGAGTGTCCCACAGGAGCACGGGAGGTCCCCCGCATGCTCAGTGGCGGACCTCCGCCATGCCCCTCCAGGATCCCGTGCGCACTCTGTGGTAGACCAGGAAGTGGACCAAAAGCACTTCTGATCAACTTCTGGGTCCACCGCCGAGTGCACTGGGGGCCCCCCTGTGCTCCCATGGGACACTCCATCTGCCCCAGCATCTCAGCATTCATGAGCCGCCTGGTACCTTGAGGTTTGTAGAAAAAACATTTAAAGCTGTGTTTATGTCCGAATCATCAAATGTCTCCAAATCAATTCAGAGGGTTCCAATTCGATTCAGAGGGATTAAAGGGCCTCCTGATTCGATTTGGAGATTTGACTGCCAAATCTCCACCAAATTGAATCAGCAGCCAAAGCTTCGCACAGCCCTGCTAGGTATGGCTTACAGGCCATCAGTTAGACAGCCCTGCTTTATAGTATTAAAGTTTTAGTTACAGAGTTATGAAAACAGAACAACGCTCTAATATCTTACATTTAAGAACCTGCTTTATAACAGTTTTCAAGAGACAAGATTAATATTTAGAAAGTTAAATAAATTAAACACTTTTGTTTTGGGGGGGGGAAGAAACAAAACTTGTATTTTTTAAGTCAATTGAATTAATCTTTTTTTTTTTTTTACTTAAGTTCCCCAAGGTAGTGGATGTCTAAAAATAGCATACCAGATCTTGAATAAACCCTAAAAAACCCTGTATTAGATGTTAACTAGCACACACTGATTTTGAAAAGCTGTTGTGATTGGCATCCTGAAGGAACATTTTATGTAAAGACCAGGAATTATTTAATGCCTGATAAAACTTTTTAATCAAACTGTTTTGACC